TCACACGAAAGAAAAGTAAGAGAAAAATTTGCATATTTTCCAAACATTCCTGTCTTAATAGAAGAAAAGGAAAAAAAAAAAGTAAAACGTGTCGTTACCGTTTCCGACAACAGATGGCGCCATGGCCGAACGTTGAAAATATTTTAATCTTTTGATACGTTTAGAAGTCTTTTAGGAAGTTACAAATGCGCCAATGGAGATATTAATCTATTAATAAATTCCTCTCACACCCTTTTTTTTATGCGTTTCCTGTGTCTGAGACGAAACTTAAATATCTTTCCGCCTATACGTCCTTGAAAATTGAATTTCCAATGGCGAATTTATCATTTCCAGATGTTTTCAAGTATTTTAAAGCGTTAATTCTTTGACTCAAATGAAAAAAAAAAGGCGCGTCGTGACGTACGAAAGAAAGAAAATTAATTTTTCTATTCGTAAAAATGATTGGTAGAATCTTCTTACGTCACTCCGTGACGAATTTTGAATTTGATTGATTTTATTTTGTTATAAAAAGTCTTTTATTATATTTAGTTATTTAAAAATGATAAATTATTTAAGAATTTTGTTTTTTTTTCTTTTCATCTTTTGAAAGATGATTTAATATTTAAAACGAGTTTTCTAAACGGATGACGTCTTTGCAGAATGAAATATCATCGATGACGTAGATAGTTGAGTCGGTTATGTATTTTATGTTCTAAAAATATATTTCTATTAATATGTTGTTTATATTATTTTGTGTTTAGTTTATATATATATAACATAAATTTTATTATTTTGAATACTTTAAAATAATTTTGTAAATTTTTTAATTAAAACTTACTAAACATTGCGATAGATGGCAGCAGGAAAAATTGCTGTAGAATGCCATCTCTTGGCGTTTAAAAAATTAATTTAAAAATTTTTAAAATGATTTTATTCATTTGTTTTTTAATTGATTTATGCTTTGATTTTTAAAAATATTTTAACAAAAAAATGTCGTCGGTATTAATAAGAGAAGATTTTCCATTGGAAAATTAATTAATCCACTTAAAATATTCGCAAATATTCAAAAAATTTCAATTTCTACAGTGTCAAAATGTCGTTTATTTTTTTAAAACGAAGCAAAAGTATCCAGAATATTTGTGTTGCAACGTCAACGACAAATAATAATAGGATACATGTGTCATGTTTATTGATCATTCATTAAAAAGGGTTTCGAACTTGATTCAATCAGAACATTCTATTGAAAAAAAAAGAACCGGTTTGACGTACATTTTACGTCATAAACCTCCGAAGAGGTTAAAGAACATTAATCTCTTCTTTATATCTTAAAAAAAAGAAAAAAAAACTTATCGTTGGTTCTTCACCTTGCTAAATTCTTAAACTTTGTAGCGGTTTTTAAGCTATCGATATAAGTCAGTCCCTCAACAATTGGGATGTGTTAAATATTGTTTTTTTGGAAAGTTGGTCAAGGACAATGTTAGACAATAGAAGCCCAAAGGTAGAAAGTTTTTGGTTACAGAACCTGAATTAATGTTTTGTTTTCCTCCTCGAAAACTAAATGATGATATCAATAATAATAATAATATCCTCTAAATGTGACAAGTTTATGAATGTATAGTATGCTGTATTGTTGATTATTATTATTTTTTTTTGTATATAAAATATACAGTAGTGTTGTTGTTCACGAAAGTAATTTTTTGCTTTATCAGTAAACAATTTTAAGTTGTCTTTACGCCACGATTATTCTGTGTAATGATTTTAAAATTGTGTAATTTAACAGTAAATGAGTGCGGTTTCTTAATTAATTACTTAATGACGGTCTGTTAAAGTGTTAGCTTACACTGGATGGGTGTGGAAGAAAGGCCCTCTCAGTGCCCACGGGGAGGAAAGAATCGAAAATTAAAGAAATAAAAGTGTGTTTATACACGATAAACAAATCAAATAATCGGAAAAAAACGATTTGAAAAGTAGAAAATTCAATGCAATGATTTTTTAAACATGTTTGGTCGTGGAATTAAAGAAAAGTTGAGAGCTAAAATATCTTAACAATTTTCGTTCGTTTAATTGGTTGATTTGAAATGAAATTAACGAATCAGAAAAATCATTGGTTTAACAAATTAGTTTTGCTTGGTTTTTTTTTTTGTTTTAATTTGTCTTATTAATTAAAAAAAATTAAAATTAAATAAAGATTTTTTTCCTTATTACTAATATTACATAATTTTTCTTTAAATATGTAATAATGTGAAAGGGAAAGCATTCAACCTTAATAGTTTTTTTACCGTTTTTTTTTTTATTAAAGATTAAAATTTCTTGTTTCAGAAAGGATAGCGTATTTTTTAACATTTGCAACACGGGAGCATCTGGTAGTAAAAATCGATTTTTTTCCCTTCCTCAATTACCATACAAAGGCAACGTCCAGACTGTGCAAATTAATATAAAGGTTAGAGAATCTAGTAACTTTTTTTTCCTGTTTCAATATAAACAACAACAGGATGAATGTAAGTATCAAGTGGAAAAATAATGAATATTTTACCTGTTCTTTTTTCTTTAAATTATTTTGAAGTGGCGAAAATAGAAGAAAAATTTAATTTTGATGACGTTAAAAAGGTTGATATCTAATGGAAAAATCTGATAACATTGTTGCTGTACTTTCCCGGCATTCTTTATTTTCGTCCCTAATAATTGCTTTCATTATCTTTATAAATTATCAGATTGTTTCGGGAGATATGGCTCTATTCCCTTAATATCTCCCGAACCAATGGTCCGATTTTTCTGAAAATTTCTATAAACATTTCTCCCCAATAAACAAACCCCCCTGAAAAATTTCAGAAAATTTTGACAAAAGGCATGGGAGTTATTATGCTTTAAAATGGGTGAACAAAATCCTGCACTAACATTCATCCATACATACAGAAAGAACCCCAACTTTCTTTGCATTTCTCAACGTTTCAAGGTCCCCTGAATGCAAAAAAGTAAAACCTTGGGGGTCATTTTTTTCTACCGATCTCCTTACTTTCCCTCTGTTATATATAATAGCAGAGAAAGTAAAATGAATTAAAACTATGCAATGATATCTACAATCACTGTTTCGTATTATTTTAAATATCCGGGAAACTACAATTCTCGATAGTGAGTTTATCTCATCCCATTAAATGATAATTATCCTTGCATAATAAATTGTACCAGTAACAGATTACAAATGAGAATCCGTGCAAATTATTTAATAAATTTTTCCTATACATAATTCTGTTATAATTTAAATACATAATTTGTAAAAATGATGTAAAAGTTATCTTCTTTCTGCCTAAAGGAACCTTTAGTGTTTCCAATTATTGTTAAGAAGACATTAGAAAAATTTATTTATTATTTTTCTAATGTCTCCTTTCTAAATAAAATGTAGTTTTGTTTTTAATAAATAAGTTGTTTTCAATTTTTGGTTAAAAGGATATACACTTTCGAAAGAAGAAAAATGGAACAAACCCCACCATCAATTTGTGCGCGCCCACCAGTAGCCGAGTGGCTAAAACCACTGCTAGATACTAGTATTTTGTCGTGGGTTCGAGCCTCAATATGCTGGCTGATCGAGTGGGTTTTTCCGGATTTTCTTCACGTGTCTAGTAGCTATTGATATATAGGTACTAGTTTATCACAATTCCTAAAAGAAACCTCACGCGAGGCATCTTTCCTTGGCAGATTGTCAACATATTGTGCTGCTTAACATCATCAGTATGTACGGTTCCCAGCTTAAGAAGTGAGATACAAAGCCGATTTCTTTCTATTTTCTTAAATCTGATTGGTTGAAAAATAGAACACACGTTAACTGCTGACTAAACAAAAGTAGTTTAATTAAAAATCAATACTTATTAACAAAATTTATACTTAAGAATATGAAGAAAAATTTTACGTAAGAGATTTATTTATTGGCTTTCTAATTTTGAATGTTTCTATATCTAATTTGCTCAGTATGAAGGCGATAATATTGAAAATTATATAATTAATTAATTAATTAAAAAATTCATGTAAAATTTAAAGTAAGTTTGGAGAAAATGCATTCAAATCAATTCTGTATTTAGACATTATCTATCAGAAAAGAATCGGAAGTAGAATTTACTCATCTTGCTTCCGAACGTTCGTTTCCACGTAAAAATTTAAAGGAAAAGTTATTTTCCTTATCCTTATCCTGATTTTTACTTTCAATTTAAATTAATTTATTTTGAAATTTTTGCTTCAATTTTCTAAACCGTGACCCATTTTATCTGACCGTTTAACCTCTCGAATAAATTTTTTTTTTGTTTTAAAATTAGTAATAATTAATGAAATATCATAATAAACGTACCCGAATGATGTCACAAATTAATTGAAAAATGTTTAATATTTACGCAATTTACTTTTCTTTTTGATTTTATATTATACCAAAATAAATTTCAAATTTACCAACCAGAGGTCGTAGTAATACATATTTAAATATTTGAATTAATCCGGTTCTCCATTGGATGTTCGTTTATTACGTAACATTTTGTCACGCTGCTCATTTAACCAATAGAAAGTGTCCAAAATTTTAAAAATCGACATGACTTTTATTGTTAAATGAATTAAAAATGGAATGTTATTAGGTCATATGTAATTGTAAAAATATATATAATGTTTCGTAAAACATAATTTTATTACGTAATTTAGTTCGGAAAGTAAATTTATTTTAAAATTAATATCGATAACAAATTATACTCTTGAAAAGCATTAAAAATGGCTTTTACATCTTCTAATAATTAATAATTATTGGCATTTTAACAAATTTTCCGTAAACGACGCCGATGAAGACAGTTAAGCCGGATTATCGCGTAAGACGAAGTTTAAACGTTGTTTAAATTAATTAATTAATTATGAAGTTAAATATATTTAATTAATTAAATAATTTCTGTTATAAATGGAGCGTTATTAATTAATCGAAAGAAACACACGAGCGATTTAAAAATCACTTATTTACATAATCCTCACATAGTGTTAGTACAATATATAAACGGCTGATGGCGCCAGCATCGCCGGCAAAGAAAAACACAATGATCAGCTGATTGAAGTTTAGATGGAAATTCGGTTCACACGTGGATGGATGGAGGAAGTAAGAATTTAGATAAAGACAAGCGTATTATGCCTCATTCGATAATATTAGACGATGGTGAAACGCCAGAGCGTAACCTGTGCGCGAATATCGATTTCGTCGGCTCTAGGATAGATAGGAATCGCCAAGTAGCCATGAAGATAAAGGATGTATCGTCTTTGCTATACGCTCTCCTTCTTAGCACGATCCTAGATAGATTTTTCGTATGTGTGGCTTCCGAATTCACTTATGGTTACGAAACCGATGACTATACCTTAGCTTTTATTAATATAACATATACCGATAGTAGAACTGGGAGAACATTCAGCGAAGAAGAAGAAATAGGAAAGTATAGTGTTGGAAAAGTGGATTCCGTTAGTGGAATTGTTGTACATGTTTCTAGTAATAATCACACTACACACGACGGTTGTTATCCTTTAGACACAGACAATATCCCTCACGAACCGTGGATTGCTCTCCTGAAGCATGGACAGTGTCAAGACAGCACAAAGATTCGCCATGTGGCATTGACAAATGCATCTGCAGCTGTTGTTTATAGTGATAAAACTGATTCTAAGTTGATAAAGATGTATCCTAAAGGTAAGTTTTTCTTATAAACACTAAACAAAGAAGAAAAAATTTTTCATTTCAAATAATTAATCAATCAGTGATTAAAATATAACAGATGTCTCGTGTTAAATTTGTTTATTTACTTAAGTTTTAGCCAGTACCAAATTTTCTGTCTACAAAAGGAATTGTTTTGCGGCAATTTGGTGTTACGTGACAATAATAGTTATGGGGGAAAAATTTGCTGTATATTTGTAAAATAGTGTGAAATTTCATATTATTTTAACCAGGTTTTGAAATTTCTGATATTAAAAACAACAATACTTAAAAATAACCTGTTAGAAGCATATTGTATTGTTGAAAGTTGACTCGGACACAAATCAATATTCCAGCTCCATTAAAAATTTATCATGATAATAAGAAAAAAAGGATTATTATAAAAATGATTTATGGGTTTTTATCATTATTATTAAAATAATAATAGTTTTAAAAGGTGTTGTTTCATTTCTTATTACTCTATCTAAAATACAACCGGATAATTTATTCACTGTTTTTTAATTAGCGAATCCTTTTCAATTTTAAGTTGGACGAAGACCGATTGCTGTAGATCTGTTATCCAGCTGTATCTTCTCTTTTTTCAAACATTTGTATTAATAATTTATCTACTTCTAGGATCTTCCTATATCTATTTTCTAGCTATTTCCAACATGCCTTTAGGTCTTCTAATATTTTTCTCATATTATGAAAATGTTATGCTGATTAGCTATTTCAATATATTCCTTCCATACTTTCATTAAATGAAGTTACTATTACTATTATTGACTTTTAGGAGAGCTCCTTTTCAATGATTTCTATTCACAATCATTAGTTTATTCCTTTAAGATTATGCGTAACCTTAAGAGTTTATGAAACTGTTTAAATTAATAAGAAGGGCTCTTTTTTATTGTTTTCGTATAAATCTTAAAATGTGTTTTTTTTTATCTAAAGTGTTTTCAAACCTCTGTATTTTTATTCTATTTTTATATTTTAAAATCTAGAGTGTTTGTTTACTTAGTTAAAACAAAAACAATTTTATGTTTTTAAGAGATCAAGACATTTTTTTTTTCTTTTTGTTTTTTTCATTGCGCTAGTTTTGTTTCATTGGGGTCTGGAAAGTATCTTATATCTAACAAGAGGTGATGGATAACAATGAGTAATTTATCAAAATGTTTTCTATTCAAAGTCTTTAATATAAATAGAATTTTCTTTTCATTCTAATTGGAAAGTTTCATTTAATAGTGAAATACATATTTATTTTTTTTCCTCCATTCTTTACAATATGAGTTTTCACTATTGAATGTAAATTACATGTATTTAAAAGAATGTATTGTTTTCGAGACCTGTCACTTAATTGTTATATTATGTACAGTTGAAATAAGTCTCAAAATATTTGTGTTTCCTTATAATTAATGTACAAATTACTATTATTATTATAAAATGGAAATTGTTTTATATATTTTAGAAAAATTAGTTATAAAATTTTCTAAGAAAGTCGGTAACAAAGTTTCATAGAGGATATAATGCATATTTATAAAAGAGATANAGCTAAAAATTCAATGAACGGTCAACATACTTTAATTCAGGAAGTTTTCGTCAAGTGGGACAAGATCAATTCAGATTTGATACGCAATATATATATATATATACATACAAAACTATTATTATCCCGAAAACTAGCAAAAATATATATCAATTGTGTAACTGGTACTCATTTGATGATTCTAGGTTACATTATTTCCGTCCTCTATTAAATGTAAGGTGAACCTCAATAAAAAATATTTTATATTCTTTTAAGTTTTCAGTTTACAATGCAACATACACATACAAACAATAGATATATTGAACCTTCTGTGGGGGGTAATCTTTTTAAATATTTTAAACTTTTATGTCTTGTTTTATTACTCTGCAAGGAGTTTCTTTTAAAGGATTTGTCTTTCAATATAAATTTTCCTCACCCTTCTTTTAGTATAAAATATGTCTAGACTGGAATCAATTTGTTTATTTTGAATGTAGATTATTTCATAATCATTCAGCGCTTTCTTGGCATTCTGATAACCTAAATAATCGCATAGATTAATTAGAAAATAAGAGAGTTTTGAGTAATTATATACAGGAAAATCCCTCTTATTTCGTGACGTTGGGCGTTTTTTTCTTTTTTTTGCTGAGAAATCCACATTCTAAGTGGAGGAATATTTTGAAAAATAATGGTTTATGTCTTAATAATTCACGGTATTAGGGGAAGTATATGGAAATTAATATATTATTTGTCATCTTTCATGTGGAAAATCTTATTTCACGGATCAAAACATTAAAAAAAAAAAGAAATTTTGAATGGGATATTGCAATTGTGTAGAATGTTTAATAATATGAGTAATTTCGTAATATATATTTAGTGATTCATGCCTATAGTGAATGCCTTTTAATTAATCTATCAAGAAATAAGATGAAATTCCAATATTCTTTCATAGAAAAATTTCTATAAACACTTTTTGATTCATTGACAAAATATTATTTAGAGAATAATGATTGTGTATCTGTGTAAGAAATATCTTATTTATCATATATTTTATAGACGTAAATATAATTTATTAGTTTAGCAAATTTTATTATATTACGAAAGTGATTAGGTACAGGAAAGTCTTTCTTATTTATGATAATTAGGGACAATTTTTAGGGTTGTTATTAAATTCCTGGCTTTACCTTATAAAAGAAAATTTCTTTGTAGTTTACAATACTAAATATATGAAAATTTAATCCGAATTTTTTATTTATTTATTTTTTTTACCAGTGTTTCGTGTTTGGTCCTCCTCTTTTCTTAGACGTACACGACAAGGATGATAATAATCAGTTATCAATTGTTACTTNATTATGTTTCGTAAAAATAATTTTATTACGTAATTTAGTTCGGAAAGTAAATTTATTTTAAAATTAATATCGATGACAAATTATACTCTTGAAAAGCATTAAAAATGGCTTTTACATCTTCTAATAATTAATAATTATTGGCATTTTAACAAATTTTCCGTAAACGACGCCGATGAAGACAGTTAAGCCGGATTATCGCGTAAGACGAAGTTTAAACGTTGTTTAAGCTAAAAATTCAATGAACGGTCAACATACTTTAATTCAGGAAGTTTTCGTCAAGTGGGACAAGATCAATTCAGATTTGATACGCAATATATATATATATACATACAAAACTATTATTATCCCGAAAACTAGCAAAAATATATATCAATTGTGTAACTGGTACTCATTTGATGATTCTAGGTTACATTATTTCCGTCCTCTATTAAATGTAAGGTGAACCTCAATAAAAAATATTTTATATTCTTTTAAGTTGCAGTTTACAATGCAACATACACATACAAACAATAGATATATTGAACCTTCTGTGGGGGGTAATCTTTTTAAATATTTTAAACTTTTATGTCTTGTTTTATTACTCTGCAAGGAGTTTCTTTTAAAGGATTTGTCTTTCAATATAAATTTTCCTCACCCTTCTTTTAGTATAAAATATGTCTAGACTGGAATCAATTTGTTTATTTTGAATGTAGATTATTTCATAATCATTCAGCGCTTTCTTGGCATTCTGATAACCTAAATAATCGCATAGATTAATTAGAAAATAAGAGAGTTTTGAGTAATTATATACAGGAAAATCCCTCTTATTTCGTGACGTTGGGCGTTTTTTTCTTTTTTTTGCTGAGAAATCCACATTCTAAGTGGAGGAATATTTTGAAAAATAATGGTTTATGTCTTAATAATTCACGGTATTAGGGGAAGTATATGGAAATTAATATATTATTTGTCATCTTTCATGTGGAAAATCTTATTTCACGGATCAAAACATTAAAAAAAAAAAGAAATTTTGAATGGGATATTGCAATTGTGTAGAATGTTTAATAATATGAGTAATTTCGTAATATATATTTAGTGATTCATGCCTATAGTGAATGCCTTTTAATTAATCTATCAAGAAATAAGATGAAATTCCAATATTCTTTCATAGAAAAATTTCTATAAACACTTTTTGATTCATTGACAAAATATTATTTAGAGAATAATGATTGTGTATCTGTGTAAGAAATATCTTATTTATCATATATTTTATAGACGTAAATATAATTTATTAGTTTAGCAAATTTTATTATATTACGAAAGTGATTAGGTACAGGAAAGTCTTTCTTATTTATGATAATTAGGGACAATTTTTAGGGTTGTTATTAAATTCCTGGCTTTACCTTATAAAAGAAAATTTCTTTGTAGTTTACAATACTAAATATATGAAAATTTAATCCGAATTTTTTATTTATTTATTTTTTTTACCAGTGTTTCGTGTTTGGTCCTCCTCTTTTCTTAGACGTACACGACAAGGATGATAATAATCAGTTATCAATTGTTACTTGCATAAAAATGACCATCATTCAGCAAAATTTTCTGATGATCTAAAAAGATCTCACTTTATCTACTCACACTTCACTAATGAAGAGTTTCGAGCGGAAGCATTCAACTCTTTCACGACCTCTTTCGACTTTATTTTTTTCTTTTTTTGTTTTGTTTTGTTTCTCTCTCTCTCTCTCTCTTTGTTTTTTGTTTTCTTCTTTGACCTTTAATCTCTATGCACACGAAACACGTCCTCCTTTCGACCATTTCGTCTGGCACGTGACTACGAGGAAAACTAGAGCTAGTTTTGTCTGGTAAAAATCGCTTGATTAAACAAACGTCTAGGTCGTGACGTGAAAGTGGAGCGGGGGCCCTCGGGCTCTATTTTCGAAAAATGGACACAAAGAAAACGCTCATCTGCTTCGAGAGGAGAAAAAAAAAGAAGAAGAAGAAGAGGATGATGATTAAATAAAGCTCCAACCGAATTGGCACAGTAATTATCACCTTAAAGAGGAAAATCATTTTCTTCTCTCGCAAACACAAGCCACGTGTCCATCCAATCTAATGTCAAGAGGCCATAGATCTTAAGCGCGTCTTTGAAGGCATTC